CTGAACCAGCTTTCAAACACCGACTATATTTATGATTCTATGGATAACATTCGATGATTAGGGTTCTTTCAGCTACTCTTTTGGTCCAGCTTGTATTTTTCACATCATATCTCTATTAAATGTAAGCTTCAAGGACACAGGAAGCAAATTAAATGAAACTTACTCTAGTTTTTCACTAAGTCACTCTAAATCATAGTGTCAGCCTATAATGTGAATGTAAATAATGGCTGAAATCATGTCACATTTAATTATTTTCAGATAAGCCATCCTCTGCTCATCCCTGCTCCTCCAAAACCAGCTCTATGTTTGTGATCCAAAGGATAATTAGGCCTTGGAGCAAGGCGGTGAATGTTTGGTCTCACTCTGCTTGGCTTTAAAGAGAATGCTCTTTTTGGATGCTGCAGTACGAGCGTATATATCCCTTGAAAAGGCAGAACTGTAGTTGCTCGTGCCTCTGATGTGCCATCCAACTTTAAAATACAGCTTTGCGAGCTCAGTCTTCTTCAAAGCCTTCTTTTCTTTTCTTTTTTTCCCCCTCTTTGGCTTTTTTGCCCTCTTCTGCCAGCCCCAACTCAGCTCTGCCTGCTGCCTCGACATGATGAGTGGAGTGAAGAAGTCGGGTGAGAAGCCTGAAAGGAACTGCAGCTAATTCATGAAACAAGTCACTAGCTCATAAACTAAAAAGGAGTTATAGCAGCAGCATGAAAAATACCAAGGACCCGCCATAAAATGGGACATTGAGCCACTGGTGTTTTGTGGGTTGATCACTGTTCTGTTTAGAATTCGCTGCAAGTAATCAGTGTAAAAGAAACACTCCTTTCATTCTCTTTGACTTCGAGGCCTAATGGCTTTTTTAGTAACGACTTTGTGTCTTTAACGGCACAAACATCATTAACCCAGGCCATTGTTATTCTAATCTCTCCCTGTCAGCGGCCTTGGAGGCAGTGCTCTTGTTTCGTTGAAACAGTTTCTTCATTGTGAGCCTGGAGGGAGGGGGAAAGGAGGCTGTGAGGTGCCTGCTTCAACCGCTGCCACCTGAGCGGGCATCAGCTTCCAGAAAACCTTATATTTAGGGTGGTCCAACCTGCCATCTCCAAACCACGTCCTTCTGGCTCTCCTCTTTATGTGGTCCTAATTCCACCTCCCACCATCGCTTTTACCCTCTCTCTACACAACCTCTCTTACAAAAAGCCCCTCACACGATGAACAAAGTTTCACTGGCCCTCGTTTGTTGACTTATCTGGCACGGTAGCAGTTTGCCTTTTGAAAAAAAAAATTCTTAAACAACATTTGTTGGGCTTCTTCTGCAGTATAGGAGGAGTATAGGTGGCGGACTGTTGTCCTCCCCCAAGACACACAGGAAGAGCCTCTGCCATGTCCTCTACGGCTTGAGCAGGTGCAAAGACAAGGCTCAATGACATCTTTGTACCAAATGGAAGAAATTTGGGGGTTTGACAACACTCCTGGCCTGGCCCGGCCCGGCACCACCTCCCCTCCATCTGCCTTTCGGGGAACTTGAACGTGAGAACTTAGCGCTGACAGGCCGCCGATGGGGAAACCATATATCCTCAAGTGACACAGACACCTTGGTTTTTGGCTTCCACAGCCGCCTGTCACGCTGCTTTTATCAGAGGCTGCTGTGGTCTTTCACTGGCTGTAGTAATTCATGTTGGTCCAGTGTTCTCTATAAGACCAGTTCACAATAGAAACTCACAATAGCAAGTCCTGTTTTGTGACATACAAAATACATGCACTATTCTATAGCACTACTATATATAAAAACTATTTTTTATTTGACCAGGTGCTGTTGTAACATGTGCTACCGGGTGGTCATGCTGGAAATGGCTAGGAAGTGATTTCCGGTGTTGGCTGGCAGCTTTTTAGGACACTATCCCAGATGTATGTCCACTGGGACGCTTTCCGAATTTCTATTTCCTCTTCTACCTACAGTTTGCTATCAGATGTGACAGTTCTGCTACCTGCTATTCAATGATGTGATTTCCTCTCGCTTGCAGTGATCTGAGATTTCAACCCTGTCTTCTAAAAATGCATTGTTTTTAAAATGTATTGCCCCTGTATATATATTTTCATCTTCCTCTAAAGAAGATGGAAGAGCTACAGCCAAAATTTGAGGGTTCGCAAATAATAACAGGTGTAATGGACAGGAATAACCTGAAGCCTAACCATTTGATGCTCCCCCAGACCTCTTCTATTTTTCACTTCATGTGTCTTGTGATCCCATCTTGAAAAAGGCTAAGTGTAAATGCAAGAATCATTCAAGAAGCCTTGATTTGTATGAGTAAGGGGGAGGCCTAAGAGAGTCCTCATACTTCATAAATAACCGTTGCTGTTGAAACTAAACTACCAAAGTAATAGCTTCAAGTGCATTACTACCACCCTCTGGGCTGTAGTAGAGCCAACCCTGATTTGTACAAACATAACATGGGAAAACCATGGCGGATTGCATATAGACTTTCCCAGCTGGGTAAGTGGAGTTCAAAGACTGGTTTCCCCATCGGTTGCCTGTCAGCGCTAACTTCTCGTGTTCAAGTTCCCCAGTATAATATAGAAATGGAACCAAAATCTTAACTTGAATCTTACTTCCCTTGATGCAGGGCATGGTGGCCAGAAAGACACAAGTCCAAAACTGGTAAAGCATTTCAGAGACAGGTATAAATTGGTTAAAAAGACTGGGTCCAATATGTGGCTTTATATTTCCTTATTGTTATTCTTTATTCTTTCAACATGTGACAGTTGCCTGTAATTGATGCCATGATGAAAGCCATTATTGACAAAGGGTGAGACAAATTATATTTGGCAACAGGCTGAATTCAGGTTCTTGCCAAATGCCAACATGCAGCTGATATCATCTGGAAACAGGCCATGGAGGTGGCAATGAAAACTGAAGTCCTGGGTGGTAAAAACTGAATATGACTTGTAAATGTAAATATACTTACTGATAAAAAATAAATGCAAGACAGAATCCTGTACAATGTCAACATGTTTCTCTGTCAGAGCCACTAAGGGACATTACTGCACATTTGTCTTGCATGGTGATTATTTCTGAGCTAATTCTTAGCCTAATGATTAGCCACGATAAGACATCTTCTCTGACTCCCTTTATTATTTCTGGAACCGGTCCCACGACCCGAGCCTCTGCAGCCCACTCTGGATTTCATGGAGCTCTCAGGCGGTGACCTCAGGAACAATGTGGGGTGCTGTGCTCATTCTGAGTACCAGGCAAGCCCAACTGCCCCCACCTGCTAGCAGCTTTACTGGCCTGGCCACGGGCCCCGAGGCCACTGCAAGAAACATCCAATTTATCATCAGATTTTATATTGTTAGGTGATCACATTTTCACCCTTATTTAGTCAAATTACCAATTCAAGTCACTGTGTTTTTAGTTCAGTTGATTAACTCATACTTTATAATTTGAATCAAGTGAGCTCACCAGCTGCCTTTTAAAACCTGATTGTCGCAAATAAAATTACAGTTTTAAAATGTATCATCATTTCACCTCAGTATAGGCTTTTATTTTATCTCAGATGAATTTAAAACTGATCATAGCTATTTTGGGATCAGTCAGCTGCTGGTAAGGGTTCGTGTTGATGTCTTAGTAAAGGACAGCACTTTAAAATCTATATATGGAAGGACACTTGTCCCAGAGCAGCTGCATATTTAGCCGTGTCAGATCATCATCAACATTTTTGGGTTGGCTGTATGAAGAAAGTGCTACAGTTTCTCTGCTTTGTTTTTAATTTGGAGAAACTGAGAATTTAAAGGTTAAATAAGACTAAGAACATTAGTCAACAAGATGCACTTTTACTTTTGCAGGGCATGCCTATCTGTCTGATCCTTCATAGGCTTCCAGCTGGGGAGTAGAAAGAGAAAACGTGTGTGTGTGTTTGTTGGGGGTATGTTATGGTATTTCTTCAATCAGCTGTCAGTTCTCACACACACACACACACACACACACACACACACATTAGTATTTTGGTACTTGTGAGGACTGTGAAGACTCTCATTGACTTAATACATTCCATCACAGCTACATGCCTAAATCCAACCTAAGACTAAATCTCAACCTCAACCTAAGTGTAACCTCAAACATAAAACCAAAGTCCCTTTTTATAGCCCAAGCTTCCAACATCCTGCTGTCCTCTCTCTCAAAGTCTAACAGTTTAATCGGTTCTTAAAAAGAGAACCAAGAGGGTACACACACACACACACACACACACACACACACACACACACACACACGCACACACACACACCACACACACACACACACACACACACACACAGACATCACACATCACATTGTCTTGTTTGAATCTGCTCCTCCCCACCTGCTTCGTCTGTAACTGGGTTCCATATGTGAACAGTGGTAGATTGTGAGGCAGCACAATGCTGGCACAGAGATGATGGAGGATAAACACCCTTTAAGCTCAAAACCAGGCTGTAAGAAAAACATTACTCAGTTTCCTCCAGTTCCTCTGTGCTGCCTCTGTCCGCCTCTTCACCGTTATGCCTTCAGCTTTTGTGCTTAGTATGTCTCTGCCAATTATGATTTTTTTTCCAAATTACAATGAATTCGTTTTTTTAATTCTCTAAAACTTTCAGTTATTAAATCGTTTTTATTATTTTATTCTGACTGTATGTTATCTTATGTTTATCACGTGCTTTCTGTATTTTATGGCTTTTTGTATTATGCTCCTTTTATTTTATTTTGGTGTATTTTGCAAAGTGTATTGGGACCATGTCTTTTGGTGATTTTGCGCGTTAAATAAAACTTGATTGAGTGATCGTTTGATTCTGAGAGTTTGGGGTGATACGACCAACTATGTCTGCATGTAATGGTGATGATTATACTTTTTGATCTAAATCTAGAAAGCATAAATAAAAATTTAAACATCTTGGTGTTTCTCTGCAAAGTATAGATAAAAAGTACATAACAAAAATAACATGTTAAAATAATAAAAGGTTTCCAAACAAAAAAGTAAAAATGGAAGGGTTTCTATTTACTTTTACATAAATTAATACAGTAAAGATACAAAAAAGAATTGATCAAAAAACATTAATACAGTACATCAATTATTCTTACAAATTGTCTTATGTGGCAAATTAACCATGTTATATACATTTCAGACATTAAACAAACAGCCACGAAACAAACCTACATGGATCACAGCACCAATATCAAACATAATATTACAACAGCCGTGGATTTACCTGAAACTTTATTTTTCTCCACAGCATATTGCCTCATATTATCCAAGATTGTATTTCTTTTGAGTGTGTTGACAGTACTACATCAATAAAAGACACCTTTTTTCAATTGTATAAATAGGGTTATAGTTATATAGTATTAGTTTAAATTGTAATCACTGCTAAATAAATGGATAACGATAGCGAGATCTTCCCTTTCATCTTGCTGTGTCATTGCTGTCACTTATGATGTCTCCTTTTGTCGTCATCTTTGAGCAAAGAGAACAGAACGGCACCCAAAGCTGCAATGCCTATACCTGCTGCAGCTACACCTCCAATCACAGCTGCTGTTTTAACCTGCAAAAGACAAATGAGTAGCAGACTGAAGGTCAAGGATGTGTTGCTGAAAACATTTACCCATATCAATTGTGATTATATTTGAATACAATTAAGCAAAGGCAGATATTTCATGTCACTGTTGGGTTGGAGCTTTGTTCTCCTTCTGTATTGTTCACACAGACAAAATGTGTCCCTTTAACTATAGTAACTCAATCTCAATCCTGCCTGTGTGCGCACGGTGCGAGAGGAGACCATATGAGACGTAGAGATGCCTGATGGTCTAAATAACCCATTAGATTTTTAGAATGTAAGAATTAACCTTTTATGTACTGAATACATTGACTAGAAGCTGACAAACAACAGTGGCTGAAATACAGGAAGTCTCAGCCAGTACGAGAACAGCCAGAGATGTACAGATGTACAAATTTTGCTTAGGGCCTCAGGGAGGTCAGGACCGGCTCTGATCCCATGACTTACGTGCTTTAGCTTACGTGATTTATGACATCTGACTTACATAACTTACTTACTTTAACCCAAACCACGTTTCCAAAACCTTATCGTCTCAACCTAAACAAACTGTGACACTTTCGTAATGTTAACCACGTGTTTAATGTCATGTGACTTACGTAATGTAGATCTGGTAGTAATGTATTTACACTTTGAATGAAACAAGCTTTTTTTAAACTTGCAAATCAGCTTGTTAATCATTTGTTGTTTGAAATACAGGCAGTCACAATTTATTAAGCACCACATCTGCTTCTTATCAACCAAAATAAATTGTGCTAGATCTGTGTTTTGTTACAATGAATGAGATGCTATGCTATATGATAAAAAAGTATCCAGGTGCAGAGCAACACTTTGAGAAAGGGATTTCCCACTGAAACATCAATAAAATATGTTCGCGGAATCACTTTTATTTAGTTTCTTCTGGAGAGAAAATAAGTAAATACTAAAAATGTTTCAAGAGAATATACTGTACACTTTGATCAATTTATTCATTATACTGACATATCTTGTTTATGTGACACCTTAGTTTGTTACACACACGTTTTGCCATGATGTCTAGATGTGGCTTTTGTGCATATTTGGACTAAATTTAAGTAAATAAACTAATACAACGAATCTAAACAATACCTGGACAGATATTTCAGAAAAGAATGAAAAAATACAAAATACTTCAAACTATAAAAGTCACAGAATACCCACCTGTCGAGACTCTGGCTTGCCGTATCGTAGCTCTGTAACAAAGTGCTCACAGTTGTAAGTGGCAACAGAATATGACAGCAACTGCCCAACACTCCTACAGGCATCCCTCACGATGACATGACGCTCGCGAGGCTCGTACTCATCATCCAGGAGGTTGTTGATGTGGAAACGATCAGAGCCGACCACTTCCCAGATCTTCTGACGCCTCACGTATGCTTTATTGCTGTCCAGTACCATCAACCGGATACCAAAAGGGCCTGAATCATCATCACCTGTGTATGTGTGTTATCAAAGAGACAGCCTCATTCACTAATGTGCATAGACATGTTCCTCACAATGAAGTATGAAGTAGTAAATTCGGAAAAATCGGATTCATGGCCAATTTTTTTCTTACACCAACTTAGTGAATCAGAATCATTCTGAATTGACAGGCGCTACCTGCTATTTGCAATCAGATTAGATGGGTTTCTTGTATACATATACATATTCAGGGGGTAAAACTGTTTTTGGTATCCAGTCAGACGACAGTAGTCAACCATTACAATCAATGTAAATTTTGCATTGTTTGTAAATTCTTGTTAATTCAATAATAAACTGTCATATTCAGAGTTGGATCTGTTTGTTTCCGTTTCATTTGCACATTAAGGGAGCAGGTCAGCGGCACCAGACCTAATGTTGTTCAAGTCAGCTGCCAAAAAGCTAAAGGAAGAATGGAGAACGAGGGAGAGAGGCGTTGTTTCAACAGTTCCCATTACCATTCCCAGTACCATTACATTCTAAGATGCAAAATATTGTCTGTTGTAAACTTGCAACCAACAAAAATATTTCAACCACAAACAATTCTACATCTTATTTATTGAAGGATCTGCTAATGCAGCACAGCAACGTGAAACTTAGCCTATAGAAAGAAATGCTACTGCCAGTGATGCATCCACTTGGTGGAAGAGAGTGGCGTTAAGCAATGTTTTGTGTTTTGTAGAAGCACTGAATACTTCTCTTATAAATGCATGTGCATAACAGTAATGTTAGTTGAAATGTTGGGAGAGACTTGCTTTATTTTTTACTCTTTTTAAATATATCCATAGCCTATAGCCTACTGTACAGCATCATCTGGTCTAAAAACAAATTCAGGTAAAATAAACTTTGATGAATCACAGAATTATCCGCTTAACCACAGATTTCTTTCTTATTTTACATTTACTAATTTGATTGAATGTAATTTGCTGATAATGTCCACGGTAGCTCCTCTAACAAAAACTACCCCTGTATTTATGTAGTAAATGTAATACTTCACTCACTTGGAGGAATCAAATGAACAACTTCATTTCCACCGATGTAGATAGCCCAGTGCTCATATGCCCCACGGAAGATCTCGATCAGGTCCCCGGGCTTTGCACCATTGTCAAACTAAAATAATAAAAACAGTAAAAATGTTTTATATAAATACCCATAATTAACATAACATCTAGTCAGTATTTACGGTCAGTACTTAAAGGTCTGGAATTTCTGACCAGTATTAGCACTATGTGGCAGTGTTTTACACAAGGGTTCCTTTTTTGTTCCTTTACATTCATGTGCCCAAGCTACAGGTGACAGCGAGAAGTGCAGCAATGCGCCATCAAAGGCGTAGAAGAAGAAAACTATTTTAAACAGAAACTTTGTCTGTTTCCAAGAAAACACTGGAGGGCACATTTACGCAGACTAGCACATGAGTAATAATCAATATAATGGTCTTCACAATCTTATTATGCCTATAATCTATAATCTAATATATGGAAGTACTCTGAAGCATTTTGTTGAGTTTTTATTGAGGCTTCATCTATAGGTTAATAGTCTTTAGATAAAAAATATAATTTTTATGAGTGGGACCCCTTTTTGTTTGTACTAGAGTGAGGACACACATGCAGGTGCACAAGAATGTGGGCGATGCAGAAATCTTTAATTGCCACCTTTGACTCACTTTGTACAATTGACTGCTGTTCCTGCTTGAAATAACTTTCTCCTTTTCCTTTTTCTCCTTTGGCTGACATACTAAAACATGAATGGTAATCCATGAATACTTAAAACATCAAATCTAAATACATAAAAGTACTTAAATGTTGCCAGTGTAAAAGAAGAAAAGCAACTTCCTATCTACAGTAACTCATCAGTGACGGTAAAGCTCAGCAGCAGGGGACTCACCATTGTTGGAGCCATGTCTTCAGTTCTTCTAGCAGGTAAGGCAGGACTTGCAGCCAATTTATTGCTGCTGGAAGTGAAACTTAAGTACACTTGCGTTTCAGAAGCAAAAGTTTTTTTTTTTTTACCTTGTAACAGGTAATAAACTGAGCAAACAGATAAAGATTAGATAAACACATTGGTACACACTATATAACCAGGCTGCATGGCGTAGATTTGCAAATCATTGACTTGATGAGTTAATACAAATGTTGTACTTGTGGAACTGTCAGGTCACGCTGAGTGCAATTTTCTTTCTGATAAAGATACAAAGGCTAAGTTTCATTTCTAGTGAATTGCACAATAGATGCACTTATGCTAATGCAAGGTTCTCTGGGTTACATTTCAAACCAAATTGCAATTGCAAACCTCTGTCTGCTTCATAGCAATGAAGAGAAACTCCTCATCATCAGTTCAAAGAAGAAAAATATTACTTATTTCAACGTTTTCAGAACCTTCTGGGTAGTCTTTCCGGTTGTACAGAAAAAAATGTTAAATTGAGCTGAGCTGAACAATCAATGCCCTTATCTTGAATTTCTGAAGCTTATCAGCTTAATGAGGTTTTATTTTTTTTAAATTTATTTTCTTTAACCAATTTAAGGTCACAGAGAATTTTGCAGCAATCTGATCTTTATGAGAAAAAATGTTTACTCAATTGGCTACAGTTTACATATTTCTGTAGATGATTTTTATATGGATATTGCAGGAATAATCAATTGAAAAACAGTGCCATCTTTAAGCTTATTATGGAGGCAAATACCTTGTCTTTCAGCTGATACAGAGAGTCACTGATAGATAGTTAATGAAAGGTCCTTCTGGAGTAAATTGATTTATCAATGATATGGCTCACAGTGAATCGCTCAAGAGCAAACAAGGCAACTTGGTTTTGTAAATAACTTACTTAAATGTTACTCCAAATGCAGAACAATCTGTTTTATTAAATTAAACACTTAACCAAGTGAAATACCTTGGTTTTCACAGTGATGAAAGTAAAGGTACTCTCACAGCTAACAGTTATTCTGGTTTAAATATAGTCAATCACTTAAAAAACAGATTTGGTTGAGGACCATATGTATAGCTGGGTAATATATTGATATAAATATGGATCTGTGTCATATTATAAGTTACAGGTTGCATTTGTGTTTTCCTGCCTTTAATTGCGTCCCTACTGCTTTATTTGTATTGTTATACTTAGCAATTGTAAAGCCGAGTTCACACTACACGATTTTGAGCTCAGCGACAGTCAGGCTGTGACCGGAGGTAAATGAGCGATCGATCAATCGGCGGTCGCCAGTCGTTTTGTGTGAACTACTCAAAGATGCATCAAAACGGCTCCCTGACACAACAACAGCTGTTTTGTGTGTAGTTTCGCGTCATTTCACGAAAAAACATGGTTTGGAGATGATTCAATCTCCAAACCATTTTGTGTGAACTACTCAAAGATGCATCAAAACGGCTCTCTGACACAACAACAGCTGTTTTGTGTGTAGTTTCGCGTCATTTCACGAAAAAACATGGTTTGGAGATGATTCAATGTTCAAAAACCACACTTTTTTTCTCATACTGTCCACTGCTTCAACTCCTCTTTTCACCCTCTGTCTGACCACTCTGTTTTAGCTCCTGTGTCTTTAAGGCCCCCCTCACTGAAAGCCCACTTACATTTATTCATTTAGCTGACGCTTTTATCCAAAGCGACTTACAATTGCTATACATGTCAGAGGTCGCAATGAGGGGTTAAGTGTCTTGCTCAGGGACACAATGGTGGTTGTCTTACAGTGGGAATCGAACCCAGGTCTCCCACACCAAAGGCAAGCATCTTATCTATGCGCCATCACCACCCCACTTGCTTCTGATTGGCCAACGTCCATGAGCACAACAGAGGGGCGGGGCCTAGCTCCACAGTGCTGAATCAAGGCCTGCTATGCCAGACTTGGGCTGTTTCTCAATACCGAGTTCGCCAAGTTCAGACTTCTGTACTTTAAAGCTCGGACTTGGCAAGTTCGGCTAGGGAGCACAAACTCCCAGGAATGGGAGCACGCAGTCAGTCATTCAGCAATTGGAACAGCAGCGAACGTGATGATACTCAGACCGTTAGCAGGCATCTCAGAAAACGTTGTAACAATTTTTTAAATCAGCTCTGTCTTGAGAAATCAACCACATATTTGGAGTTTAAACAACTATATTCCCGCATTAAAAACTCTTAAAACTACTATATGTGACACAAGAACAGCAGTATTATAAGTTACAGTTCTGAGTTTTCTCATCTGACATTTTTTGGAGGCGAAATGAAGCCTGGGATATCTGGCGATCCGAAGTCCACACAAGTCACCACCAATGCAGGCTCGGTAAAACGGGCGGAGCGAGAACACATCCGGGTATTTGACTGTACTTGGCTAGATGCGGACTTTTGAATTGGAACAGTACTTTGGCTGCGACTTATGACGTTTCACAAGTCCACAAGAACACAAGTACAGACAAGAACGCAGATTGAGAAACAGCCTTGGCCTCACAGATTACAGTACAAAAACAAAAAAACAACTTTAAAACTTTATTTACTGGTTTTGCTGAAACTGGATCACATTTGAAAAAATATTTTCTGGTTTTCCTTCTGATGTCCTCTGGCTCTACTTTTGGAGATTTACAGAGTTTGTATGTTATCAGTTACTTTAGCTGCTAACTACTGCTATCAGCTGCTGCTGTTAGCTACTCAGTTAGCCATGCAGCTAGCCATCCTATTGCGGATTCTACCCGAACTGGAAGCGTAGTGCTTTAGGGGTGTTGGTTTACACCTCTAACATTAATACAGAAGCTTTGGACCGCTGTTTCAGGGCCTGCTGATAACAGGAGCAGCTTGCAATTACAGCGTCACTACTACCACGCATGCGCAGTAGAAGTATAACCGGGTGGAATGCATTTTAAACCTGATTTTAAGGGAAAGTCGTCAAACTTTTTCAGTGATTTTTATCAGACTTTACTGGTGATTCTATTCTTGTAGTTTTTATGTCCCGGTGACCAGTGAAAGTGCACTGCTATCTCTCTCTCCATTCATTCAGATAGGAGCCTGGTCTTGTTAGTCTGAAATAACTGCCCGGAGGCGTTGCCAACATGGCTGCCAAGTGGCAGGACTTGCCTATAAGGACTTTGTTATAGGTCAGCTTTTATGGTGTTTTCCTTTTCTACATTTTGGTGTAAGATATTTTTCTCATGGATGGGGTTAGGGTCAAATCAGAGCTAACATGAGAGCAAATATTGAACTATTATCAGGTGGCCAGAAAGATTCATTCTTACTTCAGCTCAGTCGACCTTCTCTTCTCTGAAGTTCACTTACTCACAGCTTAGCAGCACTGGCACATTCTGAATAGTTTGATTTAGTCACCTCATCATAAATATTTGGGTTTTCCAGATATCAAAGACATTTTTGGCTCCAGAGCATATATATTTTTGAGGGGAATAAGGCCAAACTGAGGGGGCATAGCGGGCATGGCCATTATGACCTCAGTGAAATTCCTGCCCTGGTTAGTAGGTAATCATCAACAACTTGGTATAACTACTTGGTCATAATATGTCATTGCTGTTTGCCTTTCTGCTTGTTTTGCAGTTCCTCTGCCCCCTAGTGACCAGAATCTATCAAAGCACCTTTAAAAATCTAACCCACCACAAATGTAGCAGTGGCAGTTGAATTTTGGTAATATCAGACCGGTTGAACTGAAAAAAAATAACAAGCTTATTTCTTATTTTCAGGAAAGCGTCCAAGCTGGGAGACCTGAAAGTTAAATTTCTCCCCAGTTCCTCATTAAGTGCTTAAAACAGGAAGCCCTCAATCAGACCGGCACATGGATCCCACCGGCCTTTTAGCTCTGCAGGATGTTTGGAGAAATTCCCCCCACTCAGATCAATGCTGCCGTGCCTTTTATTAAATACAGCTGCAATACAGTATGTCTTGCATCCCGGCCAAGAATCTTTTCCTTTCCTTTTTTTCTCTCTGTATTTTCTCTTCACTGTTCTGCTCTCTTCTGGTTGTCTTCACCTCATTGACAGCGGACAGAAGCCAGATGAGGGATTTGACACCAAACATTCATCTCTCTTTCTGTCAGTCAGCACTGCCTTTTACCACAACACCTGTTGAACTGCGTGCCATATATGCTGTCACCTGCCCACTGCTTCACCCCGCCACTTGACATACTGTATTCTTTCTTGTATTTTCTCTCTTTTCATTTCATTCTCTCTCAGAGCACTAGAAAACTCCACTTAAGTAGAAGTATTGCACTTGAAACTGTATACTTGCAGTCTCTACATAAATGAGTAAAAAGAAGTTCATTTCAATTGAAGAACTTAACCTTCACACATAAATCCATTATCTCATTTTGTCTCTGGTCTTTTCTCACATTTGAAATCGGGGTGCTCTTGCTTTTAATGGTTACTTTGTGCCTATGATACAGGGTCAAATAATATTTTTTTTATCCAAAGTGTGTGTGTTTTTTTTACAAAGAAATTTAATGTTCATAATATTATTTGGTGAAATGTAATTTTTTTCTATGTTTGACTTTTTTAAAAAAGGACAGCAAAATTGAGCAGCAGTCATGGAAAGGAAAGCAGAAAAGGCTTCACTACATGCAGTGTATGACAATGATGAGTTTGATGTACAGTAAAGCTGTTAGATTATGCTGTCTGTTCTATAAATAAATCCTGAGGAGGAAAGGTGCAGTTTTTACAGGTTAACGTTTTGGTTGGTAGACCTTCATCTGGTAATATTTGTCAAGTCTACCGATCAGAAGACACCATCTCAGTTCAGAGTTTTTGGTCTTACACATTTGTGACCTTTTTCACAGCAGGAAAAGCACAGCTGAAACAAATTATGTTAACGCAAGACAGTTTTAGAAGTGTGCACACCTTCCTGAAATATGCCATTTTCCCCATGATGATTAAAACATAATTGACAAAGTATGTCATCCCCACTTTTCAAAATGTATGTTCTTGCTGTTTCTTTTTCTATATTTGCTATAAAAAACGACTTGTAATTGTAATCAGTCCAGAATAGTAAATATCGCTTATTTTCAT